GAATGAGATATACATATTATTATCATTAGAACTACTATTGGTTCTCATCAGACGTCCCCAACCTCGTAGTAATTATAGCCACTCGTCGAAACAGTAAAGTATGATGAAGTTCAGTATGGCTGCTACGATGAACGCCTCACCCCCACTTTCAGCGATAATTTCAGCGATAAAATCAAAGGAACAGAAAGAAATCTCCTCCTTTTCGGCGTTTTCCTTTCGATATTTTCCTTCTTCCATTATCCGCTTTCGACGTTTGCCTTTTCGGCATTTTGTTCTTCTACATTTTCCTCTTCGACGTTTTGCTCTTTTTTTTATCGACATTTTCCTTTTCGACATTTTTCCTTTCGACGTTTTCCGTCAACCCCAATGTATCATTGGTGTTATTATTGTTATTATTAATGAATACATTTTGACATATTCTAGACAGAAGCAAATATGTCATTTAATTTATTGAAAAATCATGATCGTGCAATTGCTAGTTTATTAAAATGTTCAATAGAAAAGTTGAATGGGGATGATTCACATCAAAAATATTTATTGTATGTTGGATTAATGATTCATTACATTGAAAGACATTTGGACTATGCAGAATATGATGATGATTACCGTACAACGTCAGATATACAAAATTTATTACTTATAAATGAAACAGATGAGAATTATTTTCATCAGTTATGCCAATCATTTTGTATAAGTATGAAAAAAGAAATATCAGTTGATAAAACAGAATTTATGGCTGATGAGGCAATATGGAAATCATTAATCCCATACGACATGAAATATGGTGACTCAGGTAAATGTCTGATAGTCGCGAATAGTGCTCTTTCAATTATGAATAGTTTAAACATTCTCATCTTCAAGCTAAATGATAGACAACTATCGTCGAACAAAAATTTTGCTTACAAAACGTCAATGAACGGATCGGATCTATTTAATAGAGTTGACCGTCAATTTTTTTTGTATAATTTGTGATAGAATAAAAGTTGCAACTATTGGTAGTAACTGAGTGCAACTATCAGATAATGTCTTGAGAGATTGAGAAATCTTATTATTTTTTTTGTGAATTATTCATACCTAGATAGTGTCATCTGCTTCATGAAAACTATTCAAGTCCAAGATTTTAAAAAATTTTAGAAATATATGAAATTTTATCTTTGAGTTTGATATCGTATATGCATTTTCTTCACTACGTATGACAAACAATGAAATTTGTACATGTAACTTAAAATCACAGAGATATCTTCTTTAACAAAAAGTTCTAAATTTAAAAATATGGAACATATTCGTAGAACATACAACTGCTGTTAATCAATTAATGACTTGTCGATCTTATCAACATAAAACATGAATTTTAACATTAAAACATAAAAATTCTATTTGTAGTCATGGTGATAGTAGGGATGAAGGTGTAAATTTGTACATTTTAAAAATGTTAAATTCTCGAGTTCATATAGTTTGAAATTTATGTATTTTTGAAGTTCCAAATTCACATGGGTAATAATGATTAAGTAGTGTTTAAATGATTATCTCAAATTTAGAACTTTTATCTATGACAAATGATGAGGGGCGCCTCGATACCTCGAAGGCAGGAGGGGAAGTCAATTTCGGAGTAAATTTTCATGCTTTTAAAAATTGAAGTAAAACTAAAGAAAAAAAGATAAGCAGTGTTCTTCTAAAGCAAGACTGAATTTCCTAACTACGAAACTGAGAGTAACCCTTTTACTCTAAAAATGGGAATAAATATCTTACTGCAAAATTGAGAGTAAACGCCGTACTCTGAAAATGGGAATAAAATCCCTCCCCTCCGCCCCTTATCGGGACGCCCCTGCAAATGGCAGCACTCTAAAATCAATTTGAAATACTTATATTTTTGTATGCTAAACATATGCGAATGGTGATATAGAGATAGTCTTGAAGAAACGTTAATTGTTTTTCCGATAGTTCTTTCGAATATTTGACACCTCAGACACAAATATTTAGAGACTTTTGTTATCGTTGGAAATTTCAACCATATTGTTTTGTTCGAGGGGCGTTTAATTCGACAGAAGAAAACTGCTGAATTTCAAATTAGTGCAATAGAAATTAATTAATTCATAATGTTACATTTATGAATGGATAAGAATTTTCGAATTGGGAATATAATAACCAGAGCTATTTTTAACTTCGTTACTAAAATTTTATTTCGACGTTTCGAAGATACGTACACTGTAAGGTTGGAAATTATTTATGGAAAATGCTCGGCGAATTTCAAAGAGTACATATGGGAATTCCGTGGGGATTTTCCAGTTTATAGAAAATCGACTTTCCAACAATCTAGAAAATCCCCGGCGATTTTTCGGTTGATTTTCTATAAACTAGAAATTAATTCAAGATTACAGTGTACATTTTTCATTTTGAGTAAAAGTACATAGATCAATAGACTATAGTGTAACATTAGAATCAAAATTCTACAAATATATAAAAATCAAAAAAATATGAAAGGGATAAACGATAAAACATGTTGAAATATGTGCGCAAGCAGTTAGTTAGACCCCAATTACCTTCGGTATAGAATGAGACAAGAAAAACGTACAGAAAAAAAAATCGCAAAGGTACAGACATACACAAGATTATAATAGTGTTTATTTCAGTCCAAGTTATGCGCGTCCCAATGAATCAAAGTGCGTCACATTATTATCCTTCAAATGATTTAGTTATATGGTGCACAGTATTTGCACAGTTTTTAACATTGAATTAGACGAGTATGAAAGTTATTCGACAATTAAAATGGATAAAACAGAAGAAAAATAACGGTATGATAGAAATAATGGGACACTTCTGTTTTCTATCTTTGATGTATTTAACAATTGTTTTAAAGTCTGGTTCTGAGCTCATTCGATAGAGAATTCAGTTTTTTTACAAAACCGTCAACTGCATTTTTCAAATTAGTCTTTCTTGTTGAAGTAAAATTTCAATGATTAACATCCACTCAATCATTCATTCTACGCAGATCAAAAGAAAACGAAAAACTTTATGAAAATATTTTCAAATGATTGTGCTCAAATTCTAAGTGTGCCACAAAATTCTGCATCTTCCAATGTAGTTTTCAAAGTTTAAAAGTATTTTTAAAGTTTAAAATGTAGTTTTCAAAAAAATATTTGAGAGAAAAATTTTTGAAATAAAAAATGTGGATACACCAAAACAAAAAGCTCTTTCCAGGCAGGTTTATGACATTGTGCATTTTTTATTCAAAACAGCCCAAACGGCTTAACTGTTCAAGTCACAATTTATACCATTTTGTTCAGAATTAAATTCTGCATACAACGGTTTGAGAATCAGCGATTCACAGACATGTGTATCTTTGAAAAACATTACTTTCCGAAATGCATGGAAAAATTACATCCGGTGTTAGTTCGAAACCTTTTTCTCCTGAATAAGAGCATCAAGAACTTCACAAAGGTAGTGGAGGTATAGAGCACAAAATTTTCTATCCATTGATGTTAAACACTTGAGTTTGCGCATTGGTCTTGATGAGCAGAGGTTCAGACAAAGCGCTTAAACAAATTGATATCTGGAAAGGACGAGAATTCGCAGAATGAATGATTGAGTTAAGGGCCCCCCTCCTTCAGAAATTATCTCCGACACCGTACATCCGATCTTGACGAAACTTTCCATAAATGTTAGGCGCAATGAGTTACGGGAATGCAAAAATTTTTTGTCTCCAAGTCTTACGGTTTAGAAGTTTTCCAGAGATCAAGGTCCAAAAAGGACCCTGAACCTCGTCCCAAGATTTTTTAAGATACTTCAAGCTGGAGAGTTCGGGTTTGTTTTATTTTAAACCAGACACCTAACTACATCGATTGACCGGCACCGATTTTTCAATTAAGCCTTTATCGGTTTTCTAGGCAACCAACAACCTCCAAAACCCGAAAAATCCTTCCGGATTTTCTAAAAATCCTCAGTTTGACAAAAAACTAAGACATAATTCAAAAATCGACACTGGTAAGTCGATGTAGTTTCTTTTTCTCTTTAAAACAGAAAAATAATGAACTCTCTACGACAGACCGCTATTACAAATCTTGGGACGCACTTCAGGTGTAACCCTTATATAGTGAAAACGCTGTATGAAATACTCGATTTTAGGACTTCTAGGGAAATGCCTGTAACTTTTTGACGCAAGTTCATACAGAGTTGTGCGCAGTCTTATTTTGATCAAAAACGTTTGCTCTACAAAGCTGTGTTTTTAGAAAAATTTTAATTGCATAAGTATCCAGGAAAAAACCATTATTTGAAGACCCGTTTTTTCGAGCCTCTTAGAAAACTTGCTCAAAATTCCCGAAAAACCACTTTTGTAACCAAAAACAATACAGATTCTGGAAGTAGACACTTCAGGCTATCTTTCCATGTGCGTATCTCAAAACCGATTTTTTGATCGAAAATCACCATTTCTGAGGGGGGCCCTTAATCATTGAAATTTTGCGCCGACAAGAAAGACTAATTTGAAAAATGCATTTGACACTTTTGTAAAATAAATGAATTCTCTATCGAATGGGCTCAGAACCAGACTTTAAAACAATTGTTAAATACATCAAAGCTAGAAAACAAAAGTGTCGCATTATTTCTGTTTCACCCGTTATATCGTTTCTCTCTAATATCAATCGATTTTTTGAAAAAAATGCCTACTCAGTAAAACGCTTATAACGTTTTACTGAAAAGAACCAGAGACCTGCGGTTTTTGGCAATTGGAAGAGGACACCAGGCGACACAAACCTATGCAAAAATGAAAATTTTCCAAAATAACTTTGTGGATTATTATAACCCGGAAAAGTTCGGAAAAACAGCGCATTTTCCGGAAAAAATTTGTTTTTTATTTTTTTTCGCCCATTTTGTAGAGCGACAGGTCTCTTTTCGAACAGTATCTAAGCAACTCCAAAAATTTTGCTTCCTCGCCGAGTTATAAGCGTTTCAAAAATTGCCACTTTTTCGGGGACTTTGGCTTTTTGAATTAAAAAGTGTCGACATATAAGTAATCGAGTGCGCTGATCATCGTGGTGATGTTAGTTTCAGTTTGGAGTAAACAAAAATGATTAAACTGCGTTTTTTTAAAAAAGTGCGTTTTTCGTGCGCCTACGGAAAATATGCGATTTTCTCAGAATCTCAATTAACTCAATTTTTTTCGTCTCCAAACCGAAAACTAACATCCCCACGATGATCAGCGCACTCGATTATCTATGTGTCGACATTTCTTAGTTCAAAAAAGCCAAAGTCCCCGAAAAGTGGTCATTTTTGAAAAAAAGTTATGAGCGTTTTGCTGAGTAGCCTTTTTTCAATTTTTTTCGATAATAGTTCAACCTCGTACAAAATTTTTTCTTTTTGGCATGACTATTAATTTTTCTGAATAACGAAAATGCATGTTGTCTTCTGATTCAATAATCTCTGACCATTATCAACCTAAACTTAACAATACAGTGGTATGTTCAGTACCATTTTTTCGTCTTTTCAAATGACATTTTAAAAACTCTAGTCCCAGATCCTCGAGTTTAAAATTGTCTTGATATTAGGGAAAAACAATATATTTTTCTCCATTGTTATTATTTTTCTTCTTGTTTCTTCTTATCCATTTTAACTGTTAATTGACATCTCTACTCGTGTTGATTTAGTACTAAAAACTTGTCTGATTTCACAAATATTTCAGCATATCTTTTCTTTTATCGTTTACACTTTCGTTTTTTATATATGCATAACATGTAAGTTATACATTTGTAGAAAATTGATAATTTTGATTCTAATGTTACACTATAGTCTGTTTATCTATAAATGACAATTATATTTTCAAAATATTGATTTTTTAGGATTATTTCAGTAATAAATTTAAAAATAGTTGGCGATATTATTTTCACACCGATAAATTCAATTCATATTCGAATATGTGACAACATTTTACACAGTCAATATTTGAATGGAGAACAGTGCAGAATTTCGTCTATTAAATTTCAATATTGTTTTTATTGTTTATTTAAGGAAATGAAGGAACAGTATCAGAATATTGGTATCATATGGGTGTTTTACTATTAGTTCCATACAATCGTAGATGGCATTTACTCAATAAAAAGTGTGTAATAAAAGCATTTCCTAAAATGTGTCAAAAAGCAAAATGTGATGAAAATCAAATTAAATTAAAACAAGACTGTATTGAATTAATAAATGAAATGTTATATGATAATAAACAGCAAGTATATTATCGTCTTTTTAACTTTAATGCAATAACATCTTTAAATTCATTAATATTATTGTATAATTCAAAAAGTGATGATAATCAACCTGTTTTAGATACGATTATTTCAATAATAACTGATTGTTTATACATTAGAGAGTTCTTTTCAGACATTGATACAATATACAAAATTGGAAATGTAATTGGTTGGAATCAAATTGGTAATTATATCTATAAGGCATTTACAAGTTGGTTAAAAAAACGGAATATTACAACAGTTGCGGAATTCTTAATTGCATTCATTTCAAGTATGTTAGTGTTTTTTCTTTTCGTCGTTTCATTCATTCAAGAGCACATAAATTATGTTGTACATAAAAGCTAGACAAGACAAGATCGGAAACAAATAGAAAATAATTTCTTTGATCGCTAGTTCTGATATTCGATACATTTTGAATCAGAATTTCATTTAGATGTTCTGTATTTAGGCTAAAAAATAGATGATAAGAAAAAGTGAAATTTTTCTCTTTGGCAAAAATTCTCTGACCACCACATTCTCTTTGTTTTCTTTTTTTATTTACTTAATGTTTTCATTTTTGCAAAAGATTGGTTGCATTCAAAATGTCACGTCGTCTATAAACATGTGTACAGAGTTTTCGATTGGGCGAAGAAAGGAGGGAACTCTCTCTTCTCATCTGACACTCGGCATAAGTGATCTCCGAAATCAGTGATTTCGGAATAAGTTACTGCAGAATTACTTATGTCGAAATCATTTGGAATAAGTAGGAACTAGGAGTAAGTAAAATTTCATATTTCGGAGTAAGTCTTCTTCTCGAAAGATAAGAAGATTGTAATGAAAACTGTGTATGTATAGAAGAAAAATGAAAACATTCAATCGATATTCATAGAAAAATGGGATTGATTTTAATGTAAACAAAGAACAAAGAGAATATAATATTCAAAGGAGAAAAAAATTAAATTTTTTGTTATCATATTTTTTTGATACAATTACAAAAGATCAAAATGATTCTAATGATAGACATTCAAGTGGTCAAAAATATTAGAGTAAAATTTATTCGCAGAGTTTTTGTGGTAATACAAGAAATTATTGTCTTCCGTTTCTAGAATGTTTTGCTCATCTTTTAACATAACGTCTTCATTCGATAAATTATATTTTGAACGTTTTAGATAATAAAACAGTCACTATTCCAAGTCATACAATGATCAATGAACTTTTAGCATATGCTTTTGATTTAAAATGTAAAAATAATTCATTGCAATTAATTGACTATTGTTCTCTATTACATTTATTAAGTTTATATGAAAATGAATACATCTCATCATTACAATTGATTTCGACAGCTATTAAACAAACTGTTCGTAATGTTATTAGTGAATATTCGTATAAATATGTTATCGAAATATGTTTGAAACCAGTATTAATACCATACTTAATCAAAATTTTCAACAATAGTTCTCCATCAACAAGTCATTCAAAGTAAGTTAAAATTGTCAATTTTTGCTAAAAAAGAGAAAGGGAAACAAAACATTATATAACAACGAATGTAGACAATTTAATAAAAAGAAATTTCAACTGTGACGTTTGTTTTTTCATACTGTAATAGACGAGGTGAGATAAAATGAGGCACTTTTCTTTTCTTATTTTAATACACTTGACAATCAACATGTGTATTGTTCATGCAACTATGTGAAATGACAATATTCTTTTATTTTTAACATGTCTATTTCAACTGCTGATATCATTATTAAGTAATGTTTTCAAAAACTGTATATTTAACACTAGATTCTCTTTCCTTTGACCGTCATTTCATATCGTCATCATCAATCGGCTACAAACAAGGTTGGTTTACAGGTGGCTAAAATTTTCTTTCATTCTGTGCGATCTTGTGCTGCTCTTCAAATCTCGTCGAGTGTAGATGACACGTCGCTGTTGATGAGCTTGTCTGTGTACGGAGAATACAACATCCATGGCTTACCTCTGCCTCTTTTCCCGTGATTTTCATCAGGCATGTAGAGAACGTGTTTTTTGATCAGCTCGTTCTCATTCTTTCTGAGACAATGTCTGACAAATCTCAACTGTCTGCACTGAATTTGTAGAGCAAGAAGGTCAAGACGGACCATCTTGTATATGTCTTCGTTCCGTTTCTTATCCAACTATTTGATGTTAAGCGTGACTCCGTAGCAGTTGGTCACGTAGCTGTTTAGACTTCTCTCGCGCTTATCTGTAATGATCCAACTCTCACAGGCGTACAAGACTATCAAGAGATATGCCGCTTGGGAGATGTTGATCTTGAGTTTGATCGGCAGACCTTTTTTGTTATCAAACACACACAGTTCATAACTGTTCGACAAACATTTGGAGTCATAGTGTTGCTTTATGTCAAGGCGTTAAAATAGTGTCAGAAATAAAAGAATATTGTCGTTTCACATAGATACATGAACAATATAAGTTGTTTTGGAATTCTTCTCTATCTCAAAAGAAAATATTTATCACTTAGAAATCATTTTAAAACTCACTTTTAGACTCATTTGATCGAGAATTCATTGCTCGACAGAACTATTACCTTTGTTTTTCAAAAAATAATTTTGTTATCCGCATACTATTTTAAAGATTAACGTTTGCTCAATTTTTGTTAAAAATGCAAAACTGCCAAAAAGAAGCCAGTTTTGAGTAAAGATTTGTCTGAAATTTCAAATATGCCACAAAGTTCTTTGTGAGATTCTGCATGTTTCGATGTATGTTTGAAAATTTTAGAAAAAATTTTTGTGAGAAAAATTTCCAGGTAAAAAACAATGTCTGAACATCCAAAACAGATAGATAATATTGTTGTGTTTTCAAATCGAAACAAAATAGAAACGTTTAAACTGTTCAACTTGATAGTTACACCATTTTGTTAAGAATTCAATTCTTCATCTGACTACATAAGAATAAACGTTTAATAGTCTAACTTCGACAAACATAATTTTAGACAATGCATTCAACAATACCAACAAATGTGAGTTCCATGCTTTTTTCTCCTAAAACCATGGTACCCAAAACCATGAAAAGCTCAGAATAAAAAATGTTCCATATCTATTGATGCTAAGATACTTTTATTTTTAGCATTACACTCGCTAAGCACAAGCTTTTAAATATCCATAAATATCGACAGACAATAAGAAATCGTGGTGAGATAATGGAGTCGATATGAAAATTTCAAATTATCTGTGAATAAGAAAATTTTCTTTTTTAAAAATACAGTTGATAATCGTGTTGAACAATGAATTTTCTATCAAATGAGTCTATAATCGAGTGTTTAAAACGATTCTTAAATGTATTAAAGAACAGAAAACAAAATTGTCCCATTTTATCTGGTCGATTCATTACACAGTTTTTCGTAGAAGAAAAAGAAAACATCAAAGACAAATATTTCTCTTGTACTAACATTCTTGTTAACTTTAGATCATTGTGAATTCCGATTATTTTGTATTTTTTAGAACTCAACTGTTGTCACCATGGTTTGTCTCTTTATATGAATTGTGTCTAGATGTGTTGAATGGTAAGTGTCAACAACGTCAAGCTCATCTTCATAATATGATTGATTCATGTGAATTACCCTTAACATATAAAACAAAACGAATTCATAATCAACAAACATTATGCGTAACAAAAACAGAAGATACAACATCACAGCAGAGCCAAATGCTTCAAGAATATTTAGATTTAAAACAACAGTTACTGGATATGAAAAGTTCATTTGCACAATATGAAACAACATCAACAAGACAAGCTACTGCAACTACTACTAGTGAACCCAGTGAAATTCCAGCTAAAAGAGCAAAAAAACATTGATTAGTTTTTTTGTTTTTTATATGAAACAGTGTGTACAATAGTAGAAGATATAATAATGATATTGATTAACTAATTTTTTTTCTTGCTAAATGATATATTTTCTAAGAAAAAAATAAAACCGAGAAATAAAAAACTAGAAAGAACGCCCGAAGCGGTCATTTTGACCGTTACTGTTTTTTTTAAAAATTTTATACTTAAAAATGGGTCTGAATTAAAAAATGAATTAAAAAACTGTTCGAACAGTTTTTTTTTCGTAATTTAGTACATTTTAGAATGTTCTAAGTTTTCTTAGAAATGATTCTGAAATTCTTTTAACAAATACATTTTGTAGAGCAAACATTTTTCTACAAAATTAGATGTTTTAAGCTCTGAGAGAATCGTGATAACTGATTTATAGCAATTCTCCCGGATACCCCAACACCAGTTAAAAACTGGTGCATGCCTAAATGTCGTACCAGACAGTGTGTAAATGTAGAAACTAAAAGAACAAAACAAATGTAGACAAGAAAAAGAGATGATGACAAATGTTTCACATAAAGAAATAAATAAAATCTTACCTTGTTATACAATTAATATATTATAGTTGACGTGTTATTTGTTCGATAAGTTTTTTGATAGCTGATCGATATGAATATTTGATTGTAGTTTGAGTGAATGTTGCATACAGTTTTTGAATGGCAACCGGTAATGTAAGAATAACTATAGTAGTAAATCGAAATAATACCATTGTTATTAATTGACGATCACGTTGTCGAATTCACATAGAATTTATGGGTACAAATTGTGATCTAGCTTTACGAATATTACGTAATGTAAGAAAATCAAATACAATCATGCTCAATGGTGGTGAACAACTGTACATTGAAAAAAATAAAAAATCATAGGAAACTCGATAAGTACCGACTTTGCATAACAATATGGAGCTTTTTGAACAAGTTCAATTTCAAAAAGTACAAAAGCATGACAATAGTATAGAAACATGATGATGGTTACAATCATAATTAGTTTATTGGCAACATAAAGTTTGCTAAATCTTCTATGTCTCACATCTAGGCAAGATATTGAATATCGATCAACACCTGCCAGTACCAGAGGTGCAACCGGTACCGGTATGAATTATAAGTAGACCTGTAATAGTTCCAGCTCATAAGTTCACCTCATTTGAGCGAAAGAACTGTTGAACAGTTCTTTTGAAAGGAGCTGATATGTTTGAACAGTTCTTTTGAATTTTTAAAAATTTTTTCAACGACTACTGCTAAAGCTTTCACGCTGAAGCAAGAGGTTGCTCAACTCGAAGCACTGAAGAAGAACGGTCATACAATTGCGTCATTCTGGAGAAAACATTCAACTTTACTTCCAATATTGAACCAGATGGCACGTCGATTCGGTCCTATACCCGCGACCTCAGTCCTCAGTGAGAACGCATTCTCAATCGCAGGCTATGTTGCTCGAAAAACATGGTCTTCTCTCTCAGCTAAAAACTTGAAATATTCAATGTTCCTAAAAGATAAACTTTAATCTTTTCTTTAGTCTGCTTTTCTTACAAAGATCATACTTCTTTTATTTTACTTTTTAACCATACTTAT